CCCTCGGTCCACCGGACTTCCAGCCGGGCCCCACCACGGGGCCGGAGGAAAGCCTTACAGGTTGTCAATGAAACATGGAATTATTTCCTTTGATGGCTTAGATAATAGTAGGAGCCAAGGCGGTGAGTGAGGTCGGCTGAAACCAATGCAGTCCGGCCCGGGTTTGGGGAGCCAATCGCAAGAGCAGAGGGCGGGGCGTCAGCGCCAGCAGATAATTGCTAAGTGCATCCCTAGCACAGTTGGCCCGAGCTGCTGAAAGGTCTGGTCGCAGAGACGGGGACGGGGACGCGTAATCCTCCGCGTGCTTCCCACCCGACAACCTCCGTCCACCGCGCAGCATCGAGCCGCTGGGCACCAGCCCCTCTGCTCCGCGGAAAAGGTACTTCTGCCTGCGTCCCGGGGGTGCTGCTCCTGCCGTTCCATTCGCAGTGCCTTGCCAGGTAGCCTCCCTAGAGGCATTGCAGAAAGAAGAGAAAAGTTTAAGGGAGGAAACGCGACCAAGGTGGGAAATCACGGTCTTTTGTTGGGAGGAAACCAAGCTGACAATTTGGAAAACTTCTGGGTTGTCAAGTACGGGGTTTGTTTACTACTGCTAATGAGCTCAGCTCAGGTCTGTGGGAGTAGGGCTGGTGTTGGGCTAGGGTGCCTGCAGCGTTGGGTTGTAGATTCAGGTTGGTTGGGCGAAGGGAGTTGGAGTCCCTGAATGCGCTCTTTCTTGGGTACCCATCCTTGGGAGGCGGCAGCTTTTCAAAAAGGTGATTGGTTGGTTGGATTTTGTACTGTAGCGTGTGTTCCCTGGTCATGGTCTTGACCTGCACTCCCCAAACTATTGTGACCTTCAACTTGAATCCTTTCTCAAACTTCTTCTCCTCTGACCTCCTGCCCACCCTGTCTCAGTTCAGGTTGCTTGGCAGGAGTCCTTCATTCACTTCCGGGAGTGTAGGCTGCTGTGCTGTATGACCTGCTGGGCATCTACATGTCCCACGGCTTGCTGAAGACAAAACCAGAAACAACCCCACATGAAACAGTTGCTCAGAGCAAAAGAAACTTCTTGGTCAATTAGTGGCCCCCAAGCTCAGAACGGCTGCCCTGGCCTGGTAGGCACTGGCATAAAAGGATGGAGCTTAGTTTTAGCCTGTGTAAAGGTGACGTCCTTATCAGAGCAGAGCTGCCCAGCCCTAAGGGTCCTTGTCTGTGGAAGTGGAGGCTGATGGGAGGGGTGCACCCCTTAGGACCCTCTTTGTTTAGGTGTGTGGGCACCTTTGGGGCAAAGAGGTTGCTGGAGTCACCAGCCATATGCACTTCAGATGACCTCTCTTCATTGCGCCCAATGGCACCCTTGAGCCTTCCAAACTGGCAGACCGCAGGGCCTCCCTTTGGTGATGGTGGTGTGTGTATGTGGGGGAATCCCAAGCCCTCCTTTCCCCCAGAGTCCAGCAAGGAAAGGTGTCCCATGGGTGGACTTCCTAGGAAGCTGGGTCTCCTGGGGGCCGGTGATGGTGGTGGTGGTGCTGTGTTGGGTCTTGAACTTCCACCGTGATTTCATGCAGGCAGTTTCTAATTTTATGACCGCAGCAATTCACCAGGTGTGTATCTGACCTGCTGGTCACAAAGAAGCTATCAGTCCTTGGCTGAGCTTCAGAAGAGTCCCTGAGGCCCAGGGGAGTTCAGGGGGATTTGCCCACTCTGCTGGGTGCCCTAGACCTGAAACTGAGCCTTTGGTTCCCAAGCCAAGGCAAGAAGCGGATGTTCCAGGAGGGAGTCTCCAGTCTCCTTGCTGAGGTGCAGATGACAGCCTGGATTCTCTGACTCCACAGATCGCTTTCACTTTTTCATCTTTATTTTCTTTAACCCCCACAACAGGTTCTCTTTCACCTCCTTTAGGCAGCTATTTTAGGTGGAAACCATTATTCCTGACGTTCCACTCACCATTTTTTTTTTTTTAAGCTTCCTGACTTTAGCTGTTGTTTTCCTGGTCAGGTTACAGCTAGCCCGTCTTTGCGCATGCTGTCTGACAATAAACAAAACAAACTTGCTTGCTGCAAATTAGAATTCCTTTGCACTGGGTGGGGATGGGGACATCTGGAGGTGAAGCTGAAGTTTTTCCTTCTCTGGGACTTAATTGACAGAGAGGTTGCTCCTTCTGTGCCCTCTCTATGACCCCAAGCAAGCCCAGGAGAGGCAATACTGAGCAGCCTGGGCATCTTGAATGGGGACACCTTAGTTTTCATGAAGAGAGTAATAACACTAGGGAATGCTTTGGAGCGGAGAACCAGAAACAGGGAGCACCATTGAGGGTCCTTTCAGCTGATGATGAGCTGTTGGATTTATGTCATGATAGAGGGCATGAAAAGTAAGGCTTTTCAACCAGCTTCTGGATGGTGACTCATGTGCTGAGGAAAAGGCAGGTGGGGGGAGGGAGCAGAAGGCGCTCTGGAAAGTACAAGTGGGACACACTGGGGCGCTGGCTTTCCCTCCCTCTCCCTCCTTCTTGTTCCTCTTCCTTGTATTTCCCCGTTTGGAACAGAGATCATTAAAATAACAACTTTAGACTAAAAAAAGGATAATAGGAGCTGAAGAATAATTGACGAAATGCAAAACACCCTCTTCGCAGCTTCACCTTGGATGGGGTGTGAAAGCCAGGATCCAGCCCCTTTGCTGGAACGGGATCACTGAGCAGAGCTGATGTGTGGCGGGTGTCTGTTTGTCTATGAAGGACTTGATGGGTGCTCAGGAAATTAAATTTGCTGCTTATTATGTCATCAAACACAGTCGTATTCACCAGGACCCCAGAGAAGCACTGTCCTTAGAGCTGGTGACTGCTCCTCTCCACAACTGGCCAATTAGGACCCGTCCCCTCTCACCTCTGTGGGGCGAAGGTGTTGCCTCTTCTTGCTCTCACAAGCCCAGCAGCGCTTACCTGAGAAGGAAAGATCCCATCTTTTCTCTTCTTTCCATCCATCTTGGTCACCCCTCCTCTCACCTCTTTTCATCATAAACACAGCAACAACTAATAATCTCTTGGCCAGCCTGCTTTCAGCCCGTCATTGTGTGCAGGTTTTTCCTGTTAAAGAAATCTGTCCCCTGAAATAGGACTGAAAACATATTAAAATTTTGATCAAAGAAGAGCCTTTTAGCCTCTCCTTTTTAAAATTTAATTTTGGGATTTGGGGGAAATCAAATAAGCTCGCTTATTGTGTTAGGGTGCTTTGGTAAGTGCAGTTAAAATGCCTCTGTGTGTGTGTGTGTGTGTGTGTGTGAAAATGTTCCTCCTCTAGTTAACCAAGGGGAGGGGGCATCTAGAGGTCTGGAATGGGTGGAGCATCCTCTGGAAATTGAAGTGGTTGGTGCAAGATCCGTCAGTTTCTTAAAGATGAGGGTGAAAGTGGTTTCAAAATAATCGAGCCTTGAAAACCGTATTTATCCCCCTTTGCTACCTTTCAGCCCTACTCAATTATTTGTTTAGGAAACTTGGCAGCCCTAATGATTAGGATAGAGTTCATCATCTGATTCGCATTTCCTCACACACACTCCCAGTCCCCGCTGTCCATCTCCAGTTGGGGCTTATTGAACACTCAAGCAGGTAACCGAATAATCTTACTTAATGTGATCTGTAGGCACACCTGTCTTTCCTCTTTGCCCTCTGGCTCTTTCTTCTTGGTATTTAAGGGGATACCCTGCTCACCTCACTTCTGAAAGGGTTAAACTGCGGGAGTCTGGAATTCTGGGATGTGCAAGGGGAGTCGGTCCTGTGGGAGCAATGAGGTAATCCTTTCTCCAGGTCTGTTCCACGCAGACCTCATGAGAGCAACTGGCATGATGCAGCTAACCTGCACAAGGCAGGCCAGCCAGATGTTTCTGAGCAAGGGCTTGTCTGTCTAACAGAGCTGTCCCACCAGACTCAGGTTGTCAGGATTCTCACTGGCCTGACAGCCACCTGCCAGACTGACCTTGAATCAGCCGCAAGGTGTGAAGTGTGCCTTTCTGTCTCCCGGTTTCTTTGTTCTGTGCGCTTTGCTCATTCCCAAATCTCTCTATTAAGAATGAGAAACGAACAATCACACTCCTTCCAACAAAGGTGTGAACAGCAAACGTCCGTACCTCCTGCAGGTATCCACTAGGAGGATTGGGCAGATCCGAATTGGAAACTTCAGGAGTGTACGGGGAAATTGTGGCCCCTCGCTTTTTCTGAGTCAGACCGTACCCCTGCTTGCCCTCCCATCGAGGATGTGCTGCAGCACTCAGGGCATTGTGATGGCAAACATTCCAAGTCTGGCATCTGGGGCTGGGTTCCTTAGATTTGACCTTGGGTCAGGGCCAAAGCCCTTTCTGATTGTCTGTTGCTTCATATGTGAAGCCCGAGGCTGGGGCGATAGTCTTTACAGGGATAGTCTTTATAAGTCCCTTTCTTTTCCGGCCAGTCTCTCTGGATGTTGCTTCTGGGTGCCTCAATTCAGGAACCCAGGGAGAAGGTCCCAGAGCTTGCAGTGCCCACCCCTGCCCACCACCAGGTTCGGTGAGGGCCTCGGAGCTAGGATGCCTGAGGGCAGGTCAGAGGAACGGTGGAAGTGATACCAGAAGGAAAACAGGCTGAGGGGTGATGTAATAACTGATTTTGGTTTAGGAGGGGTTGTTATATGGAGGATGGCGACCAGCTGTTCCCCATCTCCAGTAAGGACTGAGCGAGAGAAAATAGACAGAAATTGCAGCAGATGGACTTAGATTAGGTATGAAGAAGAATTTTCCATCAGTAAGAGTTGTTAAAAAGGGAAGGTTGTGGTGCCTCTGTTGTGATCTTCAGGAACTGGGTGAGCAGGAGGTTTTAGCTGGAGGAGAAGCCAGAAGGCCGTGAGGAGGGGCAGCTCAGGGCCATGTAGTCTAGGCATGGAGCCTTCTCCCCATGAGGGCCCCTGGTCTCTGAACCCCCACTTCACTCTGACTACACTCTCCAAGTGACTGAAGATCAAAGTATTGAGACAACTGGGCAGAGGAGGATGGCCCACCCTGCCTGTGCTCCAGGGCACATAGCCCCCTCCTTCTCCCACTCTGCCCCCAGCCACAGTGCAGCTGTCTCTACTGTCCTGGGCTGGGGGTGGGGTGGGGACGTCCTTTCATGGAGTCTCATCCTTTCACTTCCAGATGTGGCAGAAGGGGCCCAGAGAGGTGTCAGGCCTCAGCACTGTCACCCAGTGACCTGATGGCACAGCGGAGGCCACACTCAAGGTCCTCTGCCTCCCAACACAGTACTCTTGGCTTTGTAGCTCATTTTTCCTCTCATTTCCAAATGGAATACACCGTTTGCATCTTCTGGGGATCTACTTTCTCTTTAACCAATGGCAGAGACAGGGACACCTGCAGCTAAGCAATATTTATTGTGTG